ACGTAGTGATCAAGGCCAAAGCTAGCTTTTCCATGTCAGGATAACAGGTTTTAGCAGCCAAAAGAGCCTTGCTCACATATTAAACAGGCAATTGGTGGGTGTGTTTTTCTCTTACGAGAACAGCATTGGCAGTTTCTTTAGAAATGACCAAATAGAGTTGTAAAACTCGTCTGATTTGGGTTTTGAGAGGAGGAAGGCTTGTCTTAAAAACTTTTTTAGCCCCTGGAAGGCCTTTTTACACTCATTTATCCATTGGATGCCCCCTTTCAAGATTTTAAAGAATGGGAGGCAATTGTAGGTGGCTCTAGAGACGAAATGGCTCAGAGTTGCCATACACCCAGTCAAGCTTTGTACCTCATTTGGCTTTGTGGGAGACCTTATCTCTATCAGGGCCCGAATTTTCATTGGATCTACCTCTATGTCCCTTTGAATAACCATGTACCCTAAGAATTTACTAGAAGCAACTCCAAACACACATTTAAGGAGGTTTAACCTTGTTCTATACCTTCGTAGGATTCAAAAGTTTCATGTAGGTGCTTTACATGGTCATCCGCCTTTAAGTTTTTTACGAGCATGTCAACTACGTAAACTTCCATGGTTTTTCCAATGACGTTGGTGAACATTTTGTTAACAAGTCTCTGGTACATACCACCGACATTCTTTAGCCCAGAAGGCAACATCTTATAACAATAAAGACCTTTGTCCATGATGAAAGAAGTGTTTTTCTTATATGTCGAGTGTAGTAGAATTTTATTATAGCCTAAGTAAGCATACAAAAACTCAATAGTTTATGCCCAACAGTGGAATCCACAAGTTGGTCTATCCTTGGAAGGGAAAAACTATCCTTCAGGCAAGCCTGCTTAAGGTTGGAGAAGTCTACGCACACCCTCAATTTGCCATTGTGTTTCTTTACCAATACTGGATTTGAGACCCACTTCGGATAAATGGCTTCCCTGATGAAGCCATTCTTTATCAACATTTGTACTTTGTCCTTAAGGGCCTCATATCTTTCCGAATTGAGGGTCCTTCTCATTTGTCTATATATGGCAACATTTGGATCAATTTTCCTGTAGTGACAACTGACCTTCGAGTCAATGCCTACCATTTCCTCATACCTCCATACAAAGACATCCAGATTCTTATGCAAAAACTCCTTCAGCCTTTCTTTGATCTCTGAAAGTAGGTCTTTTCCCATCTGCAATACCTCACTGGGGCCTCGAGAATCCACCAGGAAGCTTTCTAGCTCCTTCATTGGTCTTGCTTGGGATTCAGACTCAATGATATGAGGTTCCAATTTGTCATTCTCTACTACATGCTCAAGGAAATTCGTCAATTTGGCGTCTTCTCGATTGAAATTTGGGTATCCTGGGACGTCCACCATATCAACATCCGTTACTACCATGTTGACGTCCATAGGCTCAACCTTTCTTATCGAATTGAGGTAACACTCTCTTGCTCCTCTTTGGTCACCTCTAACTCTGGTAACTCTATACTCAATAGAAAACNNGGTAACTCTATACTCAATAGAAAACATCATGCATAGTTGATGAATAGAGGTGACGGCCAATAAATCCTTTAGAGTGGGTCTACCTAGAATCCCATGGTCGGCCGACCTATTGTCTACTACCAAAAATTCCATGAAGTTCAAAGATGTACTAAGTGGCTCTCTCATCTCTACAACAATGGTTATTTTTCCCCTTGGAACGATACTGTCACTGGTGAACCATATAATAGGGTTTTGACCGGGGTCAATTCATGATCAGCAATCATTTTGTTGAAAGTGAATCCGAAAAGGATGTTAACAGAGCTACCATTATTAACCAGGTTCCATTTCAGCCCGTTACATACCACAACGACCCTTACCACAAGGGCATCACAATGAAGAAAATGCACACTTTCAGCATCTTCTTGAGTAAAGATAATGGGAGGCATCTGCCTTTGAGAACTACTCCTTACTATGTAGCTAGTCATCAGAGGGTCTTCGGCCTTCGTAACGTAATTCCTTTGGGAGTTCTTTATATTGTTCCCAACGTAAAGCCCTCCAAAAATCTTATAATTTCATGGATTGGAGCATCTTCCAGGTAGGTTGGGGGGTTCATGCGTTATCGTTGTGCCTTTCTAGGCCTTTTTCTTTCACTTTTCCTCTGTCGTGGAGAAAGTTCCTGACGGGAGGATCTTGCCTCCTTACGCCTAAACCTTTGATCCTGCCTAGGTAGGGGTATCTACAAGGACGGTCTTCTCCCTGGTTGTTTCATGTGCTTACCTATCTAGGATTTTGAGCTATATCCCTACAGCTTATGGTGTCATGACTGTAGGAATGATTATAAATGCAATATTGAGGGGGTGTTCGGCCTATCCCTAAGCCCTGAACCCCGCCTTCATCCTCTTTCTCTTTGGGGGGCCCGTTGTCCTGATTCGGTTTGCATGATATTAGCTTCAAGGGTTACTCCTCATCGGCCAGCGTGGGTACTGCATTCAACGTGGCTGTGGCAGAGCTTGCCCAGAATTGGGAACTTCATTACCAACATGATTTAGACTCAATAATACGAGGGTCTAATTCGTCAATCATGACCACCCACTAAGGGCACCATCATCTCGACATCTTCTTGACCAGAATTTTGGTCTCTTGGGCATTTACTAAATCAATGTCCATTATCACCATCTTAGCATCCCTGGATTCAAGTTTTCTTATTGAGTTCAGGTAGCATTCCATTGCTCCATTTTGGTCACCCCTAACTTTGACAATCTCATGTTCAATAGGGAACTTCATACATAGGTGGTGAATGAAGATGACGGCCCATAAGTCCTTTAAAATGGGTCTACCTAGCACCCCATAGTAGGCTGATCTGTTATCTACAACTAAAAATTCCATAAAGTTCAAAGCTGTCTGGGGTGGCTGTCTCATTTCCAAAGCAAGGGTTATTATTCCCCATGGGATGATTTTATCACCGATGAAGCCATACAAGGGGGTTGTGATGTGGGGAAATTCGTTATCAATGATCACCTTGTCAAAAGTGGCCCTAAAAATGACGTTAATGGAGCTACCATTATCAACCGACATCTGTTTCAACCCATTAAGAGCTACAACGGCCTTCGCCATGAAGACGTCATAATGAGAGAAGTGTACACCCTCAGCATCTTCTTGAGTAAAGGTAATGGGTGGTAATTGTTGAGAATTTACTTAATCATGCACAGCGGAAATAAAATAATTTTCAATTCCCAAACGAGGATCTGCAATGTGTTTAGATAGAAACTGTGATGAGAATGATACCTTTGATGAATTCTGCAAAACCCTTTGC